TTTTAACAAATGATGCTGGCAAAACCGGATGTCCATCTGCAAAAAAATGGAACAGGACCTGTACTTCACACCATACACAAAAACTAATTCAAAATGGATCAAAGACCTAAATACAAAATCAAAAACTATAATGATCATAGAAGAAAAAATAGGATTAAAGCTAGAGGCACTAATACACAGCATTAACAGGATACAAATCATAACTAACAACACATACACTTAAGAAGATAAGTTAGATAACTGGGATCTTCTAAAAATTAAACACTTATGCTCATCAAAAGACTTCACCAAAAGACTAAAAAGAGAACCTACAGACTAGATAAAAATTTTTGGCTATGACAAATCCAAGAAAGATCTAATCTCTAAAATCTATAGGAAAATCCAACACCTCTACAACAAAAAGACAAATAATCCAGTTAAAAAATGAGCAAAGGATATGAACAGACACTCCACCAAAGAAGACATTCAAGCAGCTAACAGACAAATGAGTAAATGCTCAAGATGACTATCCATTAGAGAAATGCAAATCAAAACCACAATGAGATACCATCTCACCCTTCCGTTACTGGCATGAATCAAAAAAACAGAAAATAACAACTGTTGGAGAGGCTGTGGGGAACTTGGAACTCTTATGCACTGCTGGTGGGAATGCAAAATGGTACAACCATTTTGGAAAACAATATGGCACTTCCTTGACAAGCTAGAAATAGAAATTCCACATGAACCAGCAATTCTACTCCTAGGAATATATCCTAGAGAAATAAGAGTCGTCACTCAAACAGACATATGCATATCTATGTTCATTGCAGCATTGTTTATGATAGCAAAAAGAGACAACCCAGATGCCCATCAACAGATGAATGGATAAACATACTATGGTACACACATGCAATGGAATATTATGCAGTGATAAAGAACAATGATGAATCTGCAAAGCATCTCACAACATGGTGAATCTGGGGGGCATTTTGCTGAGTGAAATAAGTCAATCACAAAAGGAAAAAATATTGTATGAGACCACAGGACAAAAACTCATGAAAAGGTTTACACAAAAAAAGAAACAATCTTTGATGGTTAAGAGGGAGGGGTGGGGATGGAAAACACTAAATGGACAATAGATAAGTGGTAACTTTGATGAAGGGTAAGACAATACACAAGACTGGGGAAGCCAGCACAACTTGTCCAAGGCAAAGTCATAGACGCTTCATAGACACATCCAAACTCCCTGAGGGACTGAATTATTGGGCTGAGGGCTGTGAGGACCATGGTCTCAGGGAACATCTAGGTCAATTGGCATAATATAGTTTATAAAGAAAATGTTCTACATTCTACTTTGGTGAGTAGCATCTGGGATCTTAAAAGTTTGTGAGAAGACATCTAATATACTCCACTGGCCTCACCGCATCTGGACCAATGGAGAATGAAGAAAACCAGACACAAGGGAAAGATTAGTCCAAATGACTAATGGACCACAAGTACTATAGCCTCTACCAGATTGAGTTCAGCACAACTAGATGGTGCCTGGCTACCACCACAGACTGCTCTGATAGGGATCACAACAGAGGGTCCCAGGCAGAGCTGGAGAAAAATGTAGATCAAAATTCTAACTCACAAAAAAAACCAGACCAGACTTACTGGTCCGACAGAGACTGTTGAAACCCTGAGAATATGGCCCCCTGAAACCCTCTTAGCTCAGTAATGAAGTCACTTCTGAGGTTCACCCTTCAGCCAAAGATTAGACAGGCCCATAAAATAGATGAGACTAAATGGGCACACCAGCCCAGAGGCAAGGAAAGGAAGGCAAGAGGGGACAGGAAAGCTGGTAATAGAGAACCCAGGGTTGAGAAGGGGAGAATGTTGACATGTCTTGGGGTTGACAACCAATGTCACAAAACAATATGTGTGGTAATTGTTTAATTAGAAGCTAGTTTTGTAAACCTTTGTCTAAAGTACAATAAAAAAGTAAAAATAAATGGGCAAAAGACAAACACATTATTTTACAGATGTTACATGAATTGTAATACATATATGAAAACATGATCAACCTCATGAATAATAATTAAAAAGAAATAATATTTGTCGAGTAAATACTATAGAAAAAAAGATTTAAAAATTTACATAGAGTAAAACTCACTCTTTTTGGTGTACACTTTTATGAGTTTCGACAAACACATGTAGAGTTGAATGATCACTATCAGTTCCATCACCCTTAAGAGTTCCCTCATGCTGTCCTTTTGTAGTCAAACTCTTAACCTCTACTCCAGTCCCTGGCAATCACTAATCTGTTCTCTATTCCTAGAGTTTTGCCTTTTCCAGAATGTCATATAAATGGAATCACACAGCCTTTTGAATCTGGCTTCTCACTTAGCATAATGCATTTGAACTCCATGCATATTGTTGCAAATTATCAACATAACTGCATTCTTAAAACATCCTTAAGGCAGCATTTCAATCACAAATTTTGGAAAGAGAAAAGGAGAGAAATGCATGCAGGTATTAGGCACTGCTTTCAAGGCAATATCTATCGAAGCAAATGAGCCTGAAACGGGGAGATAGGATAGAGGAAGAACAAGTTCCTTCTCTTCACATTTTTGCCTCAGGATGAGCTTAGCTGATTTCTAGAGTCAAATTAGTTATGGTATCCTAGGTACTTGTCATGGATTGAATTATCCCCCAAAAAAAGTGTGTGTCAATTTGGCTGGGCCATGTTTCCTGGTACTGTGTGATTTTCCTGTATGTTGTAAACCCTGCCTCTATGATGTTAATGAGGGAGGATGGGTGGCAGTTGTGTTAGTAAGGCAGGACTCAATCTACAAGACTGGATTCTGTCCTGAGGCAATCTCTTGAGATATAAAAGACAGAAGTGAGCAGTGAAACAGGGGGACCATCAGGAAAGCAGTGCCGGGAGCAGAGCGCATCCTTTGGACCAGGGTCCCTGCGCAGAGAAGCTCCTAGTCCGAGGGAACACCGAAGAGAAGAAGGCCGACAGAGAGAAAACGCCTTCCCCTGTAGCTGATGCCCTGGATTTGGACTTTCAGCCTACCTTACTGTGATGAAATAAATTTCTCTTTGTTAAAGCCATCCACTTGTGGTATTTCTGTTATAGCAGCACTAGATGACTAAGACAGTACTGATATATATATTTTATGATATATTATGTATATAGATAGAGATATATATTGGAGCCATGGTGGCACAGTGGTTAAGAGCTTGGCTGTTAACCAAAAGGTCTGCAGTTCAAATCTACCAGCCGCTCCTTGGAAACCTACAAGGCAGTTCTACTCTGTCCTATAGAGTCCTATACGAGTCAGAATTGATTCAATGGCAACAGGTTTTATATATATATATATATACAAACATAGCCCCAAGTATCAAATTTATTTTGAGTAACTAACAAGTGAGAGTTATTTTTAAAATATTACAAACTATGTAAAACATAATTCTGTCCTCTCATGGACTAATTTTAAAGCCAACTCATTCCAAACCACCATGTTTCTATTCTTAAAAAAAAAAAAAAAAAAGTTGAAGGGGAAGAGGGGGATGCCTTTCATCAATCCTATTAGCAACCTCCAGAAGATTGTAGACTCAGGAAATTAAGTATTAAAATTTAATTAACTCTCCAAGTAACTTGAAGAAAAAAGAAAAGAGTAAAGGAAATCCACATTCAAGAAGGAATCTTCTGAAGTGCATCTCAGTCTGCTTCACTCATTTTAAATACAAATCAGGGGATAATCTTGCTAGACAAAAAGTACATAGCATTTTGATATACAAAAAGATATGAACAGTTGTAGCCAAATCAGCATTTTAGACAAGCCATGATGATGGATTTTTTTTTTCATTAAGAGGTATCTAAATTATGTATACATGATGTTGAGATAAGGAGCCCTGGTGGTGCAAGGGTTAAACTCTCGGCTGCTAACCAAAAGGTTGATAGTTCCTATCCACCCAGCTGCTCCTTGGGAGAAAGATCAGGTGATCTACTCCCATTGAGATTACAGCCTAGGAAACCCATGGTACAGCTCTACTCTGTCACATGTGGTAGCTATGAGTAGAAATCAACTCAATGGCACCTAACAACCACCATGATGTTGAAACGTATTGATTTAGTTAAAAATATCAGCTAGTCTAGTTTGTAGTCATCATGACAATCCGTGATTCCCTCTCCCCAGTGAGAATTTTCTGAAAAAACTAAAAAATACTGTTTCCTGTGCTTCGCTCCCCAGATTCTGATTTGATAAGTCTCAACTGGGGCCCAGAGAATCCATTTTATTTATTTATTTTTCAAATTCTCCAGGTGATCTCGATGGGCAACCAGGTTTGTGAACCACTAATATATCAAACACTCTCACAGAATGAGGCTTTCATCTCCCCAAACCTGGGGATTTAGAGCTGGGTCAATCCAAGGTCAAATATCAAAAGCAATTATTAGAATGGGGGTAATTTGATACTCACTGTTGAGAAATAGAGTCAGCTCCAAAAGGGGAAGTCAAGATCCAGTGTGAAGCTGGCTGTATGAAACAGGAAGGGAGGTCAGAATGTGATTGCAAAGCCACAACTAGAGCACAGGAGAAAAGTGAAGCCAGAGCATATGAAGCCCTGGGATCCAGAGCTTCAAGGAGGCTTCACCTGCACAAGACATCTATCTGCCTGTAGATTCAAACCATTCATGCAAATACCTTTATCAGACTATCAGCTCATTCAGAGTTAAACAGTCTCTGATTTTTTCAGGATCTAGCACTTTGCTTTAGTGTTGAGCTTTAGACTGAGTGATATTACTAACATCCCCATGGGTCGAAGGCACCTACCAGGTGATCCAATTTTAATGGAATAAGGCCTATGTGTGTATGTGTCCTCAGTTCTGTGTGTGTGTGTGTGTGTGTGTGTGTGTGTGTGTACTCTTTTTGTAGAACCCTTCAAACATTTAACTGTTACTTAAGCAATATTTATTCCATGGGTATTGAACTTATAATACCTTCTACAAATAAGTTTAAACTTTAGGTAAATTGAAAGGATAGTTGTTATTTCTTGGGTAACAGTAATACATTTATTTCATTATAATTTTTTGTCATTCATAAAAAGGACAAAGCACAGTTCTATACTACTCCATTGAAAAAAAGATAAAAAATAACTAAAAATATTCATCAGTATCAAATAAAACTACTATCACCTTTCTTCAAATACAAAGAAACAGATGTCTCTATAACTATATAAAGTTTAATTAAGAATCTTGCGTCTTAAAGCAGATGATACATTAGTTAGTTTGACAACAGTTTAAAACTGATGGTCCCAGTCAAATTTGTACAATTACAGGAGGAAATGAAAAGCTTATCAGTATATGAGTGATTTTAATCTACTTTATATTTGCCACAAATTTAAAATTAAACAACCTCCAAAGTCTGTTTTCTTTTTACCTTCCAGAACCATTTCATGCAAAATCTAACCAGTTTTGCTCTTTATTACCATATATTAGAAAATAAAAGGCAAGCATGCATTTAGAAAAAAAAAATATTTAGTTGTTGTTGATCATATAAAAATGCCCAACATGGGTCACACTGCAAAAAAAAAAAAAAAAATCTCCAAGTATAACAATGAAAACACAAACATTTATACAGAAGGATTACAGAATATTCATTTCCCTAAGGTGTGAATACATTTTGTTTCTTTTCCAAATAATTAACAACTATTTTATGAAATAATGATCTCAAGACTGTTGACATACTTCCACTGGGAAATCATCCATTTCATTTTTTAAAAAGTTTCATTTCATAACAGAGAGTTAAATGTAAACTAATGAAATATTTATTGATATTTTAACAATGAAAGCTCTAAACATTTACACATAGATATATAGTACAAAAATTATACAAATTAAAGAAAGGGGGGTAAAGTAGTAATAGATATGTTTTGCTTCCTGTAAATATTTTTTTATGAACCTATAAGGTATCCTTTCTAAAAAGATAAACTCTATCTCTGATTAGCTAGCAAGGTTGTGCTAATAAAATAGGATTATACCTCTTGAAGCATCATTGCATTATTTCACAAGCCAGCTAATCTTTTATTACTCAATTTCTTTCACATCCACACTCAAATACATTTCCATGCATTCCATGGAGAATGAAGAAATGTGTGTCTTCCTTTTCACAATTTATAAAAATCCAAAGCACAAACACTTGGGTGACAGCATCAGCTCAGCACATTATTTGTCTCCCCTGGTCTTCAAGTTTTGCATACCTCCCAGTTTTGCATACTCTTCAAAGAACCATTGGCAACATATTGATTTGGTATTTTTAGACAGTTTTCAGTATTGCATTGAAACTGGAAATGTTTAAGACTAAAATTTAAAAAATTAGGAATACTGTAGCTTTTCAACCTACAGATGATTTCTTGATTCCACACCTTCAGTTAAAAAAAGAAAAAGAAAAAAAAGATTATACTTAGGAATGAAGCACAAAAACAAAGATATTAGAATATTATTAGGTAATTCTGATATTTACTTAACTGTCATTAGTCTTAGCTGTGTAAAGACAGTCACATCTCTACAAAAAAACTTGGAAGCACTCTACTTTCCAGAATTCATCCACATATGAATAAAAACAAGTGATATGATGACACTGTAATTAAGAACTGTGATTTCTTATGTTTGAAATTAATGATAAGAAAAGCATAAAATAACTTCACAGTAGAATACACAAGTAAAAAAAAAACTCTATATGTTAAAGAACAGAAATGTATTACTGTCTATGAAAATCAAATATTTAAAAAAATTATTTACTTTGAAAATAAGAATACTGATAATAAATCTAGAATTTGGTTTTCAATATTAAAAACTTTTCAACTCATTCAGTAAAATGATTTGGTAATAGGATTTACATCAAAATGTATGTTATACTTTTTTTTAAGAAAACTCAAAATGTAATGAATGATAGGGGCCATTCAAAAATATGCAGGACCCAAAACAGAGGATAGTACAAGAGAGTGAATTACTCTTACATTTACCACATACAATCAACATTTCAACCTCTATTATATTTCACTACTTGTTATTAAATTTGAAGCACCTGTGTATGGTGATTTTATTTTCACTCTACAGCCTATAGTATTGAATTGAACACTGTAACTTGTCCCATTGGATTAAATCATGCAACTGTCACAGAATCAAGTGAAGTGGTTTATAAGGCATATTGGAACGAGTTAAAAATCATTTTTATATCCATTTAAAGAAAAGTTTATTCTTTTGGAAGAAGGGGTTCCTGAATGCCTCAGTCAAAACGTGTTGTAAATCAGCTGGATAGTTTCTGAAAGTCTAATTTATTTGACTAGGATGGAGCCGCAGGAATTGGAAGGAATTGTAATCCTCACAGGGATGATGAGTGCCCACTGAGCTGGGCTGGGAACGACAGCGGTCACACACGTTCAGAATTCCAAGTAGACAAGGATGCCAAGGGCAGGCAGCAGTAAGCCAAGGAGACTCGGTGACAGGGTGGATGCACCTGCAAAGTAGACCAGAAGTGTGTATATCATTTCACTGATAATGGTCACTGCTGTTCTTTCAGTTTGCTTTGGGCAATGCCAGACTGAGCAGCCCTGAACACCAAATGCTTCCTTTTATTATTAAGTGACTTACAAAAATCAAAAATGCTTCATCAAAAATGTCTGAAATGTTTGTATGTGAGTGTGTGGACTGTTCATTCAATGCATTTATATAAATCATTTAAGATAATAAAGACACGCATGTTTATGTTGCCTCTATGGTCCAGCAGTCCCAAATTCCCACCAGAAGGCAAAAGGTCAATTTTTGGAAGTTTATAAATGAGTAAAAACCAGATGTAAGCTTATAAAAAATAAGCAATAGAAAAGGATGTAGTGAAAATACTAATAATGCTACCAGGTATAATGACATCATAGATGTATTGGATAGGTCTTACACAATTTCTTATCCCAATGGTTTTAAGACATCCATCTAAATGCTTATAACAATAATTCCAGGAATGTATTTTTTGATAATATTGAATAAATTTCTATTCAAATTTTTACCTAAAAGTAGATTGCTCTGAGCTATTGTGCTGTACACTAAAAATATAAATTATATAATATACTATGAATTTACATTATATCTTGAGAGTTGCCCAGAAAGACTATTCCTGTAGTCAAGAAATTCTATGTGTCTAGAATCTGCCTACACTGAAGTTTTGGGAAAGGGTTGAAAAGTGGGTCCTAGAAGTAATACTCTTCCTTTCCGTTCTTCACATCTATTAGTCCCTATCTTCAATAAACACAGTGCTGGAATGTGTGATGGTAAAAAATACAGTCAACGGCTTGCGAATATAACAGGATTTTGTCAAGTTTGGTAGTTTATTCTCTAAATTTTAAACCTTAAATCATTATTATCTATCATAAAATGGCCTAAAACAGCCCTTTCTTTGGAGATTCCTCTTATATTCTGGAGGATATAGGACACTTCTGACTCTCTCATTAAAAGCATATTTATGTTTCCTATAAGGTGGGAGATTATCATGTCCATCTGTGTGCCTGCATTCCACTATTGCCCTGTTAGCAGCATTCGGTGCAACGTGGGGAATAGAAGGGGAAAATCATTATCAGACATAGATAATGTGGTTCTCAGGCATGAGCAAGTCAGCAAGGGCCAAAAAGTGTGGGCAGAAAAGCAAGGGCCGTTACATGACCCTCAAATAGTTGCTTATAGTCTCATTAATGCAGATGTTGCATAATAACACTATCAATCACAACGGTAATGCTGGTGATTAGTATGATATCTGCTATTTTCTGTTCTACAGTCATGAGACAGAAACTAGAAAGGCCCTCTACATATGGCCCTGACATTAATACCACAGCCCATGATGGTAGGTCTTATTATCTTGATTTTAAGGATTATCTAATTCAGATTCAGGTAAAATAACTTGCCGAGGGCCAATAGAGGATGGAGCCAAGATTAGATCTCAGATTTGTTGGGCTATGAAGGCCTTGCTTTTTCTACATCTCTGCCACCGTTCTGCAGCCATCTTTAGAAAGGGACCAGTTCTAGAAATGTGTAAGGACACTATACCCGGTACTCAGTGTGTCAAAGGAAGGACACAAAAGGACAATCCATGCCATATGGGAAACTACAGGCTAACGCCTAAGCTGTTTCAAGGAGGTTTTTTTTTTTTTTTGTAGCTTTTTTTTTTCAACACAGATTATTTTTTAAAATATGCCATAGCCCACAGATTATTTTATCCCTATAAAATGATCAGTAACAAACCTTAATCACATGGTAACACATTAGCTTTCAATGTTTGACCAAATTTAAATGATCTGTCCTGAAGATCTTTATTTGTCTGAGTATGACTGCAGAGTGTCAGCAATGCTCTCTCCTTTCACCACAAATTACATCAGTGATGGGTACACATTCATGTACTTGCCTGAATTTGTGGGTTGGCACAGTACAATCTACTGCCACGGAAAGAAGTGTAGCCAATTCTGAACGCCATCTTGAAATCTTGGTGTTAGTATGAAAACCAAATACAATTTCATAATTTGTGGCTTTAACATCAGGATATCTGATTTATTTAAAAATAAACTCTTTATGTTTATGTGTGTTATATTTAATTTCTCTAATGGCTCAAGCTTATGTAATTGTGGTCTTCATCTTCAATTCTCTTCCACATTCCAAGCACAATTAGAGACCTGACTAAAATACTATTTAAAGTCATTTTCACTGTGGGATCTATATACTATTGAGGGGCTTTTCAATATATATTGGTTTTCTATCTAACAAAATATATATCATAATATTGCTATACAGCATAACTTCAGTGTTTTTAGAGTGTATAGTAAATATATATTTTGCCTTTTTCCATATCTGCTGATTATCAAACATGAATAAATCATCAATCCTGTAAATCATCATTCCCTAGCAGAGGAAATGGAAAACCAGTTTAGATTACTAAACCTCTTCCACTGGATTAGGAAAAAAAAAAAAATTTTAACCTAAATTCTCCAGACTTATTACTTCCTTCAGGGGGGATTCCTGCTACAGTGAGATACATATTGAGAACAGAAATTTCAATCAAAAGCTAAGCAGCACTTAACAGTCTCTGCAGGTTTTAGATAAGTAATCACTCTACTCAGTTTTTAATACAAATCTCCTTTCTAATGCTTACATTTGGAAACCACGGTCTAATCCAAGTTGCTACTGCTTAGCTATTGCTGATAGTGCTGTGACACTTAGAATTTTCTCCTCTTGGTACCTCTTTTCGTGCTCTTAACTGTTAAAATTTCAATACTGTCAACAACTTCAGGACAGGGACTAGATCAAAATCCTATTTTCACTTTTGTTGACTAATACCATGGTCAGCATATAGTGCATACTGGGTCTATGTTGTTGGGTACTGTTGAGTCAATTCCCACTCACGGCAACCCTATATGACAAAGTAGAACTGCCCCAGAGGATTTTCTAGGCTGTAATCTTTACAGAAGTAGATTGCCAGGTTTTTCTCATGCAGGGCTACTGGGTGGGTTCAAACCACCCTTTCAGTTAGCAGCTGAGCACTTAATTGCTGTTCCACCAGAGCTCCTTACTCATTCCATAATAATAAATAATTGAATAATTCTTCCAGTTGTAGGTCCTGAACTTTGTCCTGGTTATGGAACACAAGGTAGGAGAGAAAGCCAATGGGTAGGATAAGAAGATCTAAGGAAGAAGACAAGGAAAGGAACGTCGTTTAAGGAAACCAGTGTGACCAGCCTATCCTGGAACCCTTGATATTTCCTTTCATTTTATATATTCTCTACTATATAATCTCTCTTACTTTTAGGTACTTGGGGCAAGGAAGGGGATTACCCTTTCTATTAAATCTTTTCCTCAGGAAATAGTTTTTTTTTTCTTTTTCCCCTATCAGAGAGATGATGTAACAAATTCACAGCATCAGAAACGCATTTATTTTACTGCTTAGTCCTGAGGCTCTCCAACTTTCCTTGGTAGGACATTGCTTTTGATTCTTCCAAAGTCCTGGCCCTGGCCTTAGGGAAGAAAGAGTTTTAATAAGATGGGTCAGTCCCCACTGCCTAGAGCCATGCTCAATGTACATTAGGTGTACTAGGTATACATCAGTGGACATTTGCTGTTGAAAGTTGTTGAGCTTAATAAAAATCCTGTGGAGAAAGAGGCAGCTGCATCTTCAGCATTCATAGTAGAGACTGTCATGACGATGGCAGCTGGATTAGAGAAGTGAAACAGTAAAGGCCTGTCTGGGGCTAAAAGACTGAAAATCAGCTCAGACTAAAAAAGAACAAAGCACTCTTGCCTTTACTTAGGCAGGCTAGTAGGACAGAAATGTTGATGTTGTTAGTGGCCGTAGAGTCAGCCCCAACTCATGTTGACCTCATACATGACAGAACAAAACGCTACCCAGACTTGTACCATCTCCATCAGACCATGCTGATCCATAGGGTTTTCACTGGCTAATTTTTGGAAGTAGATTGCCAGGCCTTTCTTCCTAGCTCGTCTTAGTCTGTTATCTCTATGCTCTTGCACTCCCTGCCCCCTAACCTCTGGAGTCTGTGGGGCTCTGCTTATCATGGTTTGAAGATAGCTGCCATATGGAAAGCCTTTGAGAAAATGCCTGGCTAGTTAGAAATTCCTAGTAAATGCTAACAATTTACACTACATATGATGATGCTATCTCTTGCTATAGAACGGACTGTAATTTTAGAAACACAGCTGGATAAGAAAACAAAGCAAACAATAGGATAAAGCAGGTGTCCCTTGCACACAACGTTCATTTAAGATATTTTAAATCACAAAATATTCCTTTTTCCTGGAATATTCCTTCTCCTATCAACACTGGACAAATAAAAATTTTCTGTAACAGTCTCACCCAAGTGTTACCTCCTCATGGCAAAGAACAGTACTTATTGTATTATAGCTATACAAGTTGTACATGTGTCTTTCCAGAGCTATACTCTGATGTCATGGAATGTAAAAGTTTCCATTTTTATTCTCAAAGAAAGGCCAGTAAGAGTGGGTTCTTATTTTCAGTGTTCAATAAATACATACTGAAGTTCATTGAATAAACTCTTTTGTAGATTCCCTCTGCTCTTAGGAAACAGCTGTTTATGTGCAAGTCCCTAAACACACTTTCTGCAATACATTTTCTCCTTCTATTCGGTGAACACTTATTCTGCTTTCAAAGCCCTGCTCACTCAGCCCTGCCCAATGAAGTCTTTTGCAACAGTCCTACATCTAAGAATTGGCAGCCCAAACTCTGTACAATTGTATCTTACATACATTTCTATTATTACACTTCTCATTTAAAAAAAGAAAAAAAAAACAATGCTGTAAAGTTGATTTCAACTCATAGACACTTGATAGGACAGAGTAGAACTACTCTACAGAGTTTACAAGGCTGTAAATTTTTACAGAAGCAGACGGCCACATCTTTCTACTGAAGAGCGGCTGGTGGGTTTGAACTGCCGACCTTTCGGTTTGCAG